AGAGAAACTGCACTCCGAAAGGCACAATCGCCCTCCCCAGAGGGACAAGGCCCAGATTATCAGAGCACCACTTGGGCAAGATGTACTGGGGTCTGGGCTGCTTAGATGGTAACTAACTAGAAACAGAAGCTGGAAGACCCAGAGCGTTGGTGCAGAGAGCATCCCACAGAGGGTCAAATGGAAAACTGAATTGATCCAGGAGACATTTTCTAGGGCCTGGGACTTGGTAGTTGTTGGAGAGCAAAGGGGAAGGTTGAGGTGATGTGAGGTGGTACCAGGAAGTCCCAGAATGGGCTGGTGCTCCCTCACTTAGGATAGTTCCAGGATATAGAAAACTATCCAGTAAATATTAACTGAGGCACTAAGTTAAGAAAGATGTCTTTCCATCCCATCATTTTTTTCTTTTAAGTGCCATTTGTACAGTACATGGCAACTTGGTTTAAATCCATAGGGGTAAAGGAGCCTGTCCTTTAACTCGGTCTGTAGGTGGCTGGTATCCGTCCTCTCACACTGCTGAACTGAACCTTGCCCTGAGCACTCGGATTCTCCAGGGTTTTCTCTGTAAGGTCATTATCTCATTACGGGTAAGGTGCTCTTTGGAAATCTGATGCGGTGATAAAATTTAAATGAGCACATATACCTTATCATTTGCGGAAAATCTACGGACGTCCCTACATTATCTCATTTCAGTTCCAATTTGCAGCTTCTTCCCAGCAGCATTCAAACTCAATAAAAAAAAAAAGAACGTTATCCATTTTCTCTTATAAACCAATAGTTCCCTCTTCTCAAGCTTTAAATAAAAAGCATAATAAATTAAATGCTTAATGAAGAAGATCTATGAGTGAGAAGTGCTGCTTGATCTATATTTAAAGTGAAAGCATAAAAACTATACCTTTGATGCAGATATGGATCATTAGAAACAGGTTCTTAAATTAAGAACATAGATCATGTCACCTTTCCCTAGATCTGACTCTGACTCAGAGTCTGAAGAAATTCTCATACCATTAAATTAAAAAGATGATGGAACCATACCCAGGAAAAGCTGACAGCAGCCCCAATTGGTTCCTCCAGCGGAATCATATCCTCCTTGATTAATATGAAATCTCCAATTGATAACGGCCCAAAATAAATGTATGGGAGTTGTGATATCTCATGAGATTAAGTCAGTAATATCCTCTCAGAGTAGATCTGTGCTTCTTCTGATATTTGTATTTTTACACGGTAATAAAGTCTCAGTATAAAAATAAACTGAAAAAAAGATTAGCTTTGAAAAATAGCAGCTCTGAGGCTGCACACATTTCTGTGGGCTGCAGTGAGGGCCATTGCCTCATTCATTGGTCCTTAGATGAACCCCATAACCACATCAGTGAAAAAACTGTACCCTGATGCATAAAAGCCTCTCAAGCCCTCACATAGAACTTGAGTGGCTGCAGAGGCTTCAAGCTGGGTGCCGGGGGGGTGGGGGTCGGGGAGAGGTCTTAGCAGAACAGCACCTAAACAGTTCACTATCACCTGTGCACGCCCACCTCCCCACAGTGTCTCATGAAGTTCTGATGAGCGTGCTCAAGAAGCACCTGTTGATCCAGGTGTAACTGAGGGGTAACTGAGCTTAGTGTGAGTTTACTAAATCCACAGGCTGGAAAATGAGGCCATGGGGCACTAACCGGGCTGGGAAGAAAAACCCATATATTTGATGGGTGGATGTGGATATTTATTTTTGAAAATACTCCTGACTCACTCGTCATATGGATACACAAATGCACAGCAACGTTTTCATCTTTAAAATCCATTTAGCAAAAGTATTTGGTACAATTTTCCTGCCAAAAATAGATTTCTCAAAAATCTCATCTTCTCTCTTCTGGAGGAGAGAATGGAAATGCCAAAGGAAGTTTATCACTGGGGTGGGGAATAGCGGGAATTACTGTGGTAAAAGCAAAGAATAGGCATTAAAATCCCTGCTTCTTAATTTTCATGGTAAACATTCCTTTCATGTTGAAATATTACTCTCAATGACATTAATACAACTGCCACAACACACCAATTCACCCAACTAGATAATTGTGTTATTATAGTGTCTCTTAATTTTTTAGCCACAAGCAATTATAGCACCACATGCTGCACGTACCCATTCTAGAACGTACATGGTCATTCCCGCACCGTTCTACTGGCACTGATGTAAGACCAACCCTCCTCCCCACCACCGCCAAACTCTCATCCTTCAATGTCCTTTTACCTTAGGCAACCCAACAGAGGTGATATGATTTCAGGACATACCTGAAAATAACTTTTCTTTTTATAACCAACCACCTGCATGGCAGGAAAATCACAAGAAGCAAATAACCATCCCTGCATGAGTCACTGTCGCCAGCCTCTCACAAGGTAATGAAACCAATTCCACACTTTGCTGGTAGTCTGCAACTGGAGGGGAAAAACCAGAGGGTTTTGATCATCTTGAAAGTGAAGCCTACAAGATTCCTGAATTTAAACAAAGAAGAAAGACAGAGATCCCTGAGTTCATTGTTCTCAGCTGTCTAGAGACCAAACTGAGCTCAAATGAAGAAAAACACGACCAACCAGAGAAAAGTTATGATTAGAACTGCAGGAAGCTGCAACCCAGAAATTTGAATGTTCAGCTCTGACAAACAAGTTCTTCCAAACTCACGAAAGGAGTCTTCTGATAATTCTTTCATTGATCAGTAAATCAGAGGAGTTCTACTCAACTGCTGAGATCCTAGACAATTCAAACCCCTATCTATGTAGATAGTAATCAGCCTGCTGCATCTTAAAATACCAAGGAGAATGGATCAGTCTGCTGAAATTATGAATGGGATAAGAAATTCCTTCCCCTGATGGATAGAAAGACGGGAACATATCCAGAGACGAACCAGCAGCCTAGTCGTTGCTTACACATTCTGTTTTCCCAAAGCCAAATCCAGTGAGAAAATTGGGAAAATGAATTTTCTCTCTTGAAGTCTCCCTTCAAGTTTAAGCATTTCAGACAAGATTCAATAAAAATTTTTAATCTGATTTTTGTGCCAGCAGAGCCTATATAAATCAGCACAAGCTCTGAAAAATTGAAGAGGCACTGTGTTTTCTTTTTATTGAATCCATAAATCTAAGAACTTAGTAGTTAAAGAACAATTGTAAGTATTTCTTTCTTTCTTTTGTTGTAATTAATGTTGAGAACAGGCATGGAAATCGAACCCAAGTGTGTAAGAGCCTTATTCAAATCTCAGACGCAAGAAGTATTTAGGAAAGGAATATTGCCTAAATAACAATTGACTAAAATATCTGAACCCGAACCCAATAATTCAATGTCTTTCGTTTCCAGGAATTCTGATTTGGACTCTGGTCCTCATCTATGTTTCTAAAGACCCAGTAACTGTCACAGCAAGAGGAACATGCTTTGAAAGCCACTTATATTTCAATTGAAACACTTAGAGACAGATTTTGAAGTTTGGCAGGAAAGGTAGCAGAAAGGCAGAAAGGCAGAACTCTGAAGTGGCACTATTTCAGAATTTTCTCCTCTCCAACCAGTCTTTTGATCAAATCAATTTGTATTTATATGGATAGGGTTGCCATCTGCCTTCCAATAACAAACCAAGAGGAGTATATACTGATGTAAATTATATTTCTTACTGTACTATAAACCACTGCATTCTGTGCCTTATTTTATTTCAGAAATAGCTCTAGTTTTCCTCCCCAGAAAACTTGCTAAAATGTGGCATGGTATAAAGCACATGTGTGTCTAGTAGCAGGGTAGAGGTCCACTCCCAAGTAGGAGGAGGACCCTAAATGGGGCAGTGGTACTGTTGTTAAACATTCAAAAATCCCATTAGGAAAGAGCCATGTGTGACCATTGTCTCGAGGTAAGGCCATAAAGGCTAATCCCAACTGCTGGCACAGAAAGGTAGGCACAGTTCATAAGGCACATGGCTTAGTAATTCATTCATCTTCGGGTGGTCTGAGGTTAGCCACTTCCTAGCAACTTCCTTGTTCAGGGTGGTTGGAGCCTGGTGTAGATCAAAATGGCTGCGTTTAGGCTCTCCCTTGGCCTTCCTTGGCCTATCCCTACATTTAAACCTCTCAGCTCCCCAGTGAGGGGAAGGTGGCACTGGGTTAGCAAGGTCAAAGATACAGATCAGAGCACATGGTTCAGAGTGCTGCCTTAGCTGAGGCACAAACAACCCAGATCAGGGCAGAAACCCTTCCTGTGACTCTTCATACTGAGCTGCTGGGTGTGAGAAGACCCAGGCACCTTTTTCTCCTTTTGTTTTTCACTTTATTTATTTTTATTATTTGAGATTCGTTGAGGGTACAAAGTATTAGGTTACACTGATTGCATGTGTTAGGTAAAGTCCCTCTTATAACTGTGTCCTGCCCCCAAAGGATGTGTCATACCCTGTGATCCCACCTTCATTTATTTTAGATTCACTGCCCACCCAGCTCCATCCTGGGGATTCAGGAGAGAAAGCTTCTCTCATTCTTTTCTCCTTCAATTTCTTCTTATTATGACATATTCTTGCAACTAATGATAGTTGTCTTGCTTTTATACATTACTTTCTTTTTATTATTTTAAAATATTATGGTGAGACAAACTTTTTTTTTCCTTATGTTTTATTAAGTCCATAAACAATTTACACTTATTTGCTAGAGACAAACATTTTTGATTACATGGATCATTATCGGTACACTTGAGTCAGGATTATGAATGTGCCCATCATCCAGATAGTGCTCATTGCTCCTGTCAGGTAGACTGGCTTCCTTCCTTCCTTCCTTCCTTCATTTCCTTCCTTCCTTCCTTTCTCCTTCCCTCCCTCCCTCCCTCCCTCTCTCCCTCCCTCCCTCCCTCCTTCCTTCCTTCCTTCCTTTCTTCTTTCTTTCTTTCTTGTAATCAAAGCACTTAATATTTTTACTTAATTTTTATCAAATCATAACCATATATATTTATGGGGAAAAATGTGATGATTTGATATACAATGTAGAATGCTTAAACCAAAAAAAATATGGATTGCTTCATGAATTTGCATGTCATCCTTGCTCAGGGGCCATACTAATCTCTATATCATTCCAGTTTTAGTCTATGTGTCACTGAAGCAAGCACATGTTAGGTAGGTTTTGACCATACCCTCCCCCTGCTTGAATACCACTGAGTTTTACTTCCCTTAGTGCATATGTGTGCCATTGGTTAATTTCAACATACTAGTGTGTACATGTGGTAATTTTTTTTCTAGTCTTTGGATACTTCATCTAGGATAATGGTCTCCACATCCAGATTGTTGCAAGAGGCTTTAATTCATCCTTCTTCATAGCTGAGAAATATTCCATGGTATACATATGCCACATTTTGTTAATCCACTTATAAATTGTTTGGCACTTAGGCTGATTCCACATCTTTGCAATTGTAAATTACACTGTAATAAAGATTCAAGCATAGGTGCCTTTTTGATAAAATGACTTCTTCCATTGGGTAAATACCCATTTGTGAGATTGCTAGATCAAATGGTAGGTCTACTTTTAGTTCTTTGAGGAATCGCCATATCATTTTTCATAGCACTATACTAATTTACTATCCAACATGATTCACAGATTCAGTGCAATCCTCATCAAAATACCAACATCATATTTCACAAATCTAGATAAAATAATTCCACATTTCACTTGGAACCAGAAAAGAGCCCAAACAGCCAAAACAAAGAGAAACAAGAAAGAACAAATCTGGAGGCATCACATTACCAGATTTCAAACTATACTATAAGGCTATAGTAATCAAAACAGCAGGATATTGCCACAAACATAAGGAACACAGACCAATGGAATAGAACAGAAAACTCAGGTATAAAACTATCCACATATAGCCAACTGATTTTGACAAAGCAGATAACAATATACACTGTGGAAAAGAAGCCCCATTTAATAAATAGTGCTTGGAAAATTAAAACGCCTCATTCAGAAGAATGACATAGAATCCGTATCTCTCACCACTCCCCCAAATTAATTCAAGATGGATAAAATATTTCAGTGCAAGGCATGAAGCCATAAGAATGCTAGAAGAAAATGTTGGAAAAACTCTTCTAGATATTGACCTAGGCAAAGAATTTATGAAGACCCCCAATGGCAATCACAGCAACAACAAAAATAAATAACTCAGACTTGATTAAATTGAAAAGCTTCTTCACAGCTAAGAAAATAATCAACAGAGCAAATGGACAACCTATAAAATGGGAGAAAATATTCACAAATTATATATCCAATAAAGGGCTAAAAACCAGAATCTACAAAGGACTCAAGCAAATGACCAAGAAAGAAACAAATAGCCCCATAAGAGAGTGGGCAAAAGACATGAACAAAAGCTTTTCAAAAGAAGAGAGACAAATGACCAATAAACTTAAGAAAAAATGATCAACATCGCTAATCATCAGGAAAAATGCAGATTAAAACCACAATGAGATATTACCTTACCCTAGTGAGAATGTTTTTTATTAAAAAAATATAAAATCAATAGATCTGGCATGGATGCAGACAGAAAGGAAGGATTATACACTGTTGGTGGGACTGAAAATTAGAATTTCAGGTCTTAGTAATTTTTCTTTCTTTAGCATCCAATTGTGGTCTACAGTGCAGCAGCATTGACATCACTTGAAACTTAAAAGGAATGCAGAATCTCAGGTTCCACTTAGACCTAGTGAATCAGAATCTTCATTTTAAGATCCCCATGTAATCATGTGTGCATTAAAGTTTCAGAGGCATTGTTCTATACTTAAACACACTAATCTCTTTCATGTTCCATTTCTTTATTAGTAAAATGAAGCAGTTATACTAGGTGGTAACAAAAATCTTGTACATAGTTTGTGATTTATACCAAATGCAAGCTAGAAAATTCCCTTTCTTATATAACGTATCATCCTGAGTATCCTGTGGAGCTTCTAAGCACATCATTTATATATGGAGACTGAAATAAATTGGGTCTTTGCTGCCTCTAAGTTTACTTCTTTATACAAATAAATCAAGCCAAATTTTTCATTTCATCTTATCCAAAATTAGACAAGGGGAAAAGGAGTACTAATATATCAAACCACAATAAACACTTTAAATATATCATTCAATTTAATCCTAACCACAGACCTGAAAGAAAGATTCTATAAAATATGTTATGAATGAGAAAACAGTCTCACAAATTAGGTAACTTGTTCTGGGTCATAAAGCTAAGCAGCAAAAACAGGATTTAAGCTTAAGCTTCTCTCATTTGAAAACTCTTGAATTAGAAGAATTGCTACAATAGAGTGCTGACAAATTTAGGAGTAGTAACTTATTTGGTTAATATGTCATTTTCTGTGTAAACTAAATCATAATGAAAGCATCTAAATCCCAAATAACAAAAATAACATCAAAAATTCAAAATCACTATTGACTTTGCCTACCTTTCTCCTAAACC